ATTACCAAGACACAAAGTGAGGAGATTAGGAAGTAATCAATAGAAAAGTCAGACAGAATATTGATCAATAAATGTTTCCTGTTCCATTCTCCTGTTGAATTTACTGTTATCAGTAATTGTCTTCTGGTGACATACAGGCTATATGCTAAGTTTATAGATCCAATATGGCCAAACAAATACGCTGCTATCTCACTTTGCGCCAATTTAATCAATGATTTCGCATTAGAAAAAAAAGAGGAAACAAAAATCTCAGTGAGACATTATACACGTGTGTTTGTATGGGGTGGGGCAGAAGGAATGCCAATTTTATTTTTGTATATCCTGCTACACTTTCCAGACATTGATTTTATGGTAGCTGCTTTGAAACAAATTAAAATTACCTACCAACAAATATATATATATATATATATATATATAATGATAATAATTGACTTATACAAACACACCCATTCCACAGTTCTGAAATAATTTTTAGTTAGATGAATTGTTTGGCATATATTTCTGACTAGAGACACATTTTTGTTGACTTTTTTTCAGTACAAAAAACATTCCTTCAAATTCAGCTTTCCAATTTCTCTGTTGAAACATTTAGACATTTTTAAATAATTTTAACCAATAAAATTTCTTCTTATTCATGTGGTGGTTGTTGCTATAACAAATAACCATGCAAATATAGAAAATAATAAATTAAAACGGTCTTCAAAATAGTTTCTATATTTATATATATATATATATATATATATATATATATCTCCCTTGTCTCTTTAAGATGTGAGTGATCATGGTTCTCCACAACCTCCTATATTATTCCTCTCAACAATACTTTCTCTTTGTGATATTTGTTCCTCAATCCATTTACTCAAACGTGTGTTAAGTATGTTACATGCTATATCTCTCTACTTTGTTGCATTTGGTGTTTCCTCTATGTATTAAATTTGCTAAACCTTTTCTGATTATATATCAAAAAAAATTTCAGCCGTATCTTTCTGATTGTAAATATCAGTTTATTTGTAGCTTCTATTCTTCTTCATACTTCCTCATTTGTCACATGATGTTTTCAATATTTAGCAATAGCACCACATCTCAGATACTTCAAGTTGACCACCACCCAGATATTTCTATTTCTCAAGAAGATATGCAATATTTCAAAACTGATTTACTAGCTCACTTTGAGCCAAAGATACTTTCTCTTTGTGAAGGGTTTATCATCTATTCACTAACAATAATGAAATTAACCAATTACTGAAAAAACTTTCCTTAATTTTTTTTGCTCTTTTTACCTCATCTACCTTTCTGGCTAATGGTAATCTTTAGGATAACTCAATCTCAAAAAAATTGGATGCCATGCACTAATGCATTAAATAGTTTCAGCATCATAGCTTAGTTGGAATTAACTAAATCAACAAAGTTATAAAACTTACTAATTATTAAATCCTTATGGTGACCCCAAACTGTTTGCCTTAGTGCATGTGTATATCTAAAACATGCTCACAATTGTTGCAACAGTCATTGTATAAATATATATATATATATATATATATATATATATATATATATATATATATATATATATATATATATATATATATATAAAAGCCCATACCAAATAATGATGCTGAGTTCTGGCATGGTTTTGAAGTAATAATATAATTGTCACTAATCTAGTGCAACTCAGCAGTAAGGTACTTACCATAGCACCAGGCTTTGTTGATTCTATCACATTGTAGGAGTACCAGGTGCAAGCAGATGTAGTCTCTGCTCCAATCTTGAAATTTTCTCATTTGATAATAAATTAGACATGAGTCAAATAAATTAAGGCTGAAGTGGAAATAACACAAAGTATTTGATTATAACAGGATAAGCTTCAGTTGTAATGCTAATATTTCTATTTCCCAACTATCATAAAGTATTTTTAAAAATTCATTCTTTATTGTGAATGCATCTCAGAAAAACAAAATGATCAGAGAAACAAGGAAACAGAACCAAAGGACAAATTTGTGTAATTAACAAAAAAGGAAAATGAAACACAGCTAAGGCAAAATCAGAAAGCAGAAAGACTAGTCAACTCGATTTCCCATGTCCTTCTGCCAAATGTTTAACAAATATGATGATTGAACTTAGCATCATGTAATCAACCCTAAAACTAATTACTAAGTCACAAAACAGGCTTTTACTGAATCCTGAAGGAACACTTGTACACACACACACATTTAAGTAATTTACTTCTTCCTCTCAAAGTCAAATTTAACTCACAAGAAGGTTTGTTCACAAGCCATCTGAGCATATTGTGCCAACCTCATCATAGTGGTTCAGACAGCCAACTTGCTTGTCTCACAATTGGACTTAAGCTATCTGCTTCACCCCAATTGGCATGTTTAGCCACAGAGGAATGACGTGGCATCTCATGTTCATCCCCTAACCAAACACTAAACAGTTCCTAAGTGTTCCCATCTGAAGATAATGTCTGTTTCCAAAGAGAACACACATCAGCTATTCCTTGCTCAGAGACACTGGTGACCATCTTGTTACCTGACAAAAACAAGTATGGCTTCTTTTAAGCAATATAAAAACATATTTCACCACTGACACAGCTTCTTAAATATATCAGAGAGAAACCAATAAATACTAGTTTGGTGCCTGATGTGTGAACTCTACCACTATTGGTTGTGTAGCTTTTACAAGAAATGAAAGCAATGCCCCATTTTTGATTTCTGCCTTAGTACAAAAATTTTCACTAATGTCCTAAAGATCAAAAAACAAAAAAACAAAAAGGTTAATTGACTCTTTCAAGATGAATTTAAAAACTTCTAGCCTGGATATTATGGCACAAGTGACATGACTGTACAAGAGTACCATATCCATACAGATGCTGATTCTGTCTTATCTTGGAGCCTCTTAACATATTTCCTCCATTCTGTTCATGAGTACTTTAGTCTAGACAAGTATACTGATCTCATTTGGAAATATACTGACCATTCAGTTCTGCTTTACACATTGCTCATTCAAGAATTTTTTTCAGCTTTAAGTCATGTGCCCAGTCAATGATTTTTTTTACAAAAAGACAGTTAATTCAATAATATCAAGTTTTCTGAAAACTCAAGATGGTATTTTACAACTACTGCAATGGATCAGTCCATGTATCCATTAAACAGAACTTTTACTAAATTTTTACAAAATTTGTCATAATTTTGACATTTGAAAATTTTATGATATATTGTGTGTTTGTGTAACACTTTTGTGCATGATTAAAATGCACACAATAGAGATAGACAAATGTAGTAGACACTTCTGATTATATAGAAATCATAATTATTCATTAGTGAATAAAATATTTTAGTTTTAATATTCAAGAAGGAAATACAAAGCAATATGTTTTTATTATTTCCTAAGTAGAAAGAAATTATAAAATTACTTGAATATTGCCATCAGTTTTGGTGGCATAAGCCAGTTTATAAATATTCTTTTCAAACTTTGTGTAATTTATCTCACTTTATTGTATATAAAACACAATGTAGAGGTACACAAATATGAAACCAAATTTATAAGGTTAAATAAACAGAGAGAGATAGTGAGAGAGAGAGCAGTTGGGTAATGGATAGCAGCTCAGAATGGGGAATTGGAGAGCTGAGTTCAAATTTTAGTCAAGTTCATTGCATTCATTTATGTAAAAATACTCTTGGGAAAGGTATGAATCCATCTTTTCTACCCCGACCCCCCAGCAATGGGCAAATAGCAGGATAGACTAAACCTTTGGTTAGCAACCAGTCTAGAAGAAGGAAAAATTTGAAGCCTAGTGAGGATTGGACACCATCAAGCTATCTTGCTCAAGACACACTACTGTTATTCTGGCTGTATTTCAGATTGTGCCCCTGTAACCCTAAGGGGTTACAGGACTTGTTATCACATGATATATTTACTCAGTTTTTCTTCTGGCATCAGGTCACAATAGTAAAATGATCAGTGGGGGGTTGCTTGTACAATTAACTGGCTAACTCACTCTTTTGCAGGTATCTAAGCGAGGGAAGCACATAAGGAAATTTATTATGAATTTTGAAAAAGATAATCATTATTCAGTATAATAGAAAAAAAGAGAAACACAAAAATAAACACAACCAAAAAATCTTATTGCCTATGGCAAGTGTATAATACTGATTAATGCATAAAAAGTGAATATCCTGCATTACATTCACATATCCTACAGATTTTAAGCTTTTTAAAAAAATGATTTTTTTCTACTCTTATGTCATAAGTTATGCTCAATTTTGAAAGATTTTTTCCTTCATTTAAAATAGCAATTTATGAAGGGGTGCTGAAAAGTTCTAAATCAAACTAAAAAATTCCTTCACAAAAAATTCTGTTGACTAATCATTTGATCAGATTTTGGGAAATAGATGAAGCTAAGAATACCCCCTTCAATCATATATACTAGATATTACAAGTAAATTAGGATAAATAAATTTTCAAAATATTTGATTGTACTGATTTGATTCTTAACGCTTAAACTATATTGGATTAATACCAAGATTATTTACATTCAATATGATCTTTTCTTTACTTTTCTAATAAGATCTTTGTCCAAGGATGATTTACAGATAGCAATAAACTAAATCAAAATCATCTTCCATTTTAGGACAGGACTTTGATTTCCTCTTCATATTTTTATAGAGATTTTTATATTTTACAATAACTCATATTTTTTTTCTTTTTTTAACCAAAATGTATTGGCAATGAAAGGCTTTAGTTGAGATGGGTGGGAATGAGTTTAGTTTCCTCTGATACCTATTTATGATTAATAACAAATTTTATAGCTTGACTATCAGGGAATAAACTTTTGTTTTTGCCAGTATGTTTCTCTCTCTGAAAATTTATCTTTTATTGCTTTGTTTTTGTGTCATTCACAGTGCAACTTATCTATTGGATGATATCAATTGCAAATAAGATATGTAATGCTTTCAAAGGTATATTTTATTTGAAATCACTTTTCAATTCTGTATTTCCAGATGAAGAAGAACCTCTGCCAGACATGTCCTTGCATGATAAAAGTATCGTTGAACACTTGATTTGCACAAAGCCATTGACTTCCAGGTAATTTAAACCTTTTATAAATTTATTTATCCTTTTTCCCAGTCTTTACTTTTATTTTTTTTCTTTATTCTTTCTTTCTTTTTGACTCCTTTTCTTTATTTTTTGCCAAATAATGATCTCTCAATATTGCATTCAATCAGTATGATTATCATCATTTATTTGGCCTAGATTTGAGTATGAAAAGCTATTCATATTCAAATCTATTTACACTTATCCCCAATATAATTTTAATACATATGTTCCATGAAACTCTTAAATTTTATTGATATGGGAATGAAAATTATGTATAACTGAGATCCTAAATTTAATAAGCTTTAAATAAGATTATGAAATTTGTCAGATAATAATTACATGTCTCTATACTTATAACCTCCCTCAACAGTTTTAACTTGTTAAATGCTTTAAATTTGGAACTATTATATTGATAATTTTCAATGATTTAAGCATTTATCAGTGTTTGTTATTCATACCATTGCCTTCTTCAGCCATTAACAATTTAATTATTTTCTGATCACTGACAATTAGTGTCTTACTGATTTTTACTGCATTTCTATAGTAAAGCCATTATCAATGCATTTATACATAAATACCCTCCTTCTGTCAGTAACATTTATCTTAATTCTTGACCACTAACAATATTTATCTTCTTCATTTTCAATGCATATCTGTCAGAAAATCATTAGCAGTGTATTTATTAAGTGTGCAAAAGTTTCCAGTGAAACAAAAATGTTTCCAATCGTTTAATCGGTTTTTATAACCTGTATTTCTATGGATTTTAAATATCTGCGAAGTGTTTTAACAGATGATGGCATCTGGGAAGCTGAAGTTTGAAAATACATTGGAATAGCAAAATATACCTTCCAAAAAAATAAAAGTATTAAGAAACAGAAATCGTCATTAAAAGAAAGAAAGAAAAGAACACTGAATTGTTATGTGATATCAGTCCTCATTGAACGCTGGACAATTTCCTTACAGATGAAGAGAAGACTTGTCAACTGAGATGTTTCTCCAGAAGGAGGCTGAGAATACTATGGATGTGACCAATAAGAGAATTTTAATGAAAATAGGAATGAAAAGGATAATTATAGATAAAATCAGAAAGAGGCTGTTGAAAATTCAGACACATAATGAGAAAATAAGGCTTGGAAAATTTGATACTCACAGAACATATTGAAGGAGCGAGGAATCTACCTAACAAGCTTGTGTCAATGTATAACAGAACAGAGGGGAGGAAGATTAGTAAAATGACATACATTGCTTAGAATTATGGTGGATAGGATGCCGTAGAAAGCCATGATTGCCCACATCCTAAAGGGAAACAGCACATGGAAGAAGATTCAGTCTTTAGTTTTCAAAATTAGCTCAAGGATTTTTTGCATGCACCTAATACATTGTATGCATAATAACTCCATTATATCTATAACATTGGTATTAATTCCTAACCACTATAAGTAACATTTATGCACAAATAAAATGATTATTAGTAGTAAATGTAGTTAGCTATTTATATCTTGGCAGCAGAGCAAAAATATATGAACAAGTATCTTGAAAATATATATAGTACAGATATTATATTTTTTGGATCTTACTAAACATACCAAGCATGCACGTTACTAAAAGTTTCATGTTAATAAACCAATCATCAAACACTCAGATGCCAAAAATGCAATTTACACTGCATGTGACTCTGTCTGAAAAGACATTGAGCACTGTTTCCCAAAAAAATGAACATTAGCTTACTTTTGGCTGAATTATATTTCAGTTGGATGATTAATAGTTTATATTGTGTATGTGTGTGTATATATATATATATATATATATATAATGGATTTTATTTTTAATTTGACATTATTTCTTATTACTCCAAATGTTATTTTTAATGTATACTCATGTTTGAGTAGATGTACTGTTTTTTAAACAGTGCGAATTACATCTACCAATCTGTGCATCCAAGAGAATAAAAATATCTAATGCATGCTGGAATACTGTGGTTTCTTCTACAAAGTGGAATGCAGGTTTATACCCTGCTGGAGGGCACTTTTACTTTATTAAGTCTTTCAAATGCACAAGCCATTAGACATAATTCACACTGTTTAAAGAAACTGGGTATCTACTCAATCATTAGTATCTAGTAAAAATAATGTTTGGAGTAACACACACATTAGCCACAAAACCAAGGCTAATTTTCAAGCATTTAAACTCTTATTTCTTTGCAACAATTATTTAATTACATATTCTAGTTTACTCATGCCATTAAAAAGTAATGGCAGTTTGATTAATTTTGCAATTGTATTGGTTATAGTTTCTTCTTTAAATAAGTTTGTTTATACAATTAACTATGTTTTCATATGTAAGAATTCTGCTTATTTTAAAAAAATATTAAAAGTAAAAATATCCAGAGAAAGCTAATATGAAATAAAACAATGTATGAGCAACCTGTTCTTACTATTTACTAATCAGATTTTCAGTTTTGGGGAGTAACACAAGCATGTTCACTTATTGCTGATGAATAATGCTATATGTTACTATAACAACAGAAATGTATAAAATTCCCTTATTTTATGTTACAGAATAGATTACCTAATTGTTATTCTAAATTCATTAATAGTGGATAAGCTCAATGCCAGAACTTAAATTAATCTCTCATCCAAAATCTATGATTTTATTCTTAAATATATGTCATTCTTTCCATTATTGATATTTCTATTTTATGACTTTGTGTATGTATCTTCCTCCTCTTTTCATTTTCTTCTTATTTTTAAATATTTTGGAAATGGAGATTGATTATTTATAAGACGTAACAATTTACCAGATTATCATCATGGTTGTTACAGAATTGGTCCATGATGTAGAGATCCTTGTGACTTATATCACTAGTAAGGAGTATTATTATCTTGCTCTTAAAAATGTTGCAATTAAAAAAAAAAATACACTTAAATATACTACTTACTTATTTCTTGTTAGTGTTATTTTTTTCCTAATAACCTGTTTGAATTAGTTCCCAACTTTCATACAAATTTTCTGTTGAGTGATTAATTTTCAACTTTATTCACTCAGTAAGCTTTTGATTTTACCATCAAAGTCTCTGATGGTTTTTGCCTTCTGCTTTTGAATTTAATTGAAAAACTGTTTTTATTCCTGATTTGATCCTTTAAGTATTGAACTCATTCTGCCATTATATTTCTTTACACTTGCTCTCTGATTTTGAAATTGTCTTTTTTTCTCTTTCTTTTTAAAAGAAAGTAATGGTGGTTTGAAGATTAATGAAAATACTATTTGCCATATTTGTTATTGATGCATTGAGAAAAGAGAAAATGCATTTTGTTGTTAGTGACAGTTTCAGACCCATGTCAACAGGAAATTATTTCTTGATTAACTTGGCTTTAATGTAAATTTAATCTCTTTATACACAAAACATTGTTTTTGCATACACATAATAAAATATTTGTTCTCAAGTAATTTGTATTCTTTTTTTTATCTAAAAAGAAAAAAATACTAAAGGCTGATGGGGAAAAAGTAAAAAGTGCTGACTGTCAATATTTCCTAATCTTTATGAATTCCAATTCTCTCTCTGTCTTCCATTTGATCAAAGCATGTTCAAATTGACATCATTTAAACAAACACCAGAAAAGTATCTAAGTTACTTTGTTTTTAGAAGCTATTTTAAATTGTTTATTTGATCAAATTAAAGTTTAGATCTGAATGCTGACTTTCTCAGTTCAAAACTCAGTAGCAACAAATTTTTAATTTCTAAATTACTTGATTTTAATTAATTTTATCCACTGAGTTATTTGAATAAAAGAAATTTCCTTAAACTGTTTTTTTTTCTTATGTAAATGGGTGCATGTCTAAGTGGTTAAAACAATAGAATTCTGACTATGAATTGCATTTGTAATAGGAATTACCTAACCACTTAGCAGACAGGCATACTCGGATATGTGCAACCAGCAATACTATTAAAGCAAAGAGGTGACAGTTATTTCTAATCTTTACCTATAAGACTTTCATAGATTACCAATCAAAACATTAGGAATTATGGTTAAAAATTGTATTAATACTATTCAGTTCATTTGGTATTTGCTACTGTTTCATCATCTTTCATAACAATTGGTGCATCAGGTTTTAATGTAAGAATCTTACAAGTTTTTTGAGGAATTGATCTTAACTGACATAAAAAAAAGTCCTATTATAAATAGTTGGACTTTATTACTGCTGAATATGCAAAGTATTTTTAAATGAAATAACACATTTCTGAAATGAAATATTGCATTTAAATATTTGAATAATATTACATTAGCATAACTCATTTAGGGAATATAAGTCTGCCTTGAAAAGAAAAAAATGTTTCACTATTGTTGCCAACACCTACCTACTCCTCACACACAACAATTATATACTTTTGAAATTTCTGATACACAAGTGATAGCCACAGTGTTTGATACCATAGAGATCTCAAGTATTTTCTGTTTCTGTCAGGAAAGTTCAAGACAAGACTCTGCTTTTTTCTTTTTTGTTAGAAATAAACAAGCTATATCATTTTTATATAATAATGCACCTGATATATTTTACTAATTATAGAAACATGTCTACTATGTAGTACCTCAGATTTTAGCCTTAAATTCATTTTTTTTCTTTTTTTCACAAATAAGAAGTAGAAGTATAATGCAATATATTTTTATTTTATATATATATATATATATATATAATATCACTGTTTACTCTAGCACATCAATGTTTCTCAAGCTCATTACAATCTTTAACAAAATATGCTATTGGTATAACTTAGATGTTAAAATGATTCCTTTACTCTATCTAAAATATATAATTTTCAAAAATCTTTAGCCATATATTTTTTTAAAATAACTTTTGTATCTGTCTCGAGTGTGTGTTTGTATATATGTCTATGCATTACTGTGTTTATGTATATCTCTATATATTTTATGTTTATGATCAGTACTGCTGACTGATATCATATTTCCTCAACACTACACCAGTCATAC